TTTTTCTGAGATCACCATGTAACTGTTTTAAAAGTGATCGAGAACAAAACAAAGCTGTTGGTCTTAACATTGATTCTACTCACTGGGCAACATTCCAGAACCCTGAAAACTACAGCATCAAAGTTATAGGTGAATGTATCTATCTTCGCACCCCAAATCTAAGTTAGTCTGGATAAATGAGTTTTGCGAACTAAGCGTTCGATTTTGTCTCTCGACGAACTAAACCAAATAGTAGTATAACCTGTACTATTATATGAAATATAATCCTTGGGCGTGAATGAATCGGATCTGACATTTTTGCGAGAAAATATACTCAGCAAGATATATGGACCTAAAGTCGGAGAGTATAGTCGTCATATGAACCATGTTCTATATGAGCTTTATGTGGTTGAACATATTGATATACAGCGATTGCGTTGGCCAGACCATATTTTGCACGAAATGTGGTCCAAAAGGAACTCTGTGAAGGGCGCAAAAGATAGCGATCTAAACTTCGTTGGAAGAACCAGGTAAAAGGATTTAACTCGTTAGGAAACATTCCATAACGCTGATAACTACAATATTACAGTTATGAAGTGAATGTTTCGCACGAAAGATGGTCAAAAATGAAGTGTGTGGACAGCGTAAAAGAGAGCGATTTAAAATCCTTTGGAAGAACCAGGTCTCTCGACGAACTAAACCAAATATTAGTTTAACCTCTACTGTTTATGAAATAGAATCATTGGGGTGTATGAATCGGATCTGACATTTTTCGAGAAAAAAACTCAGCAAAATATATGGACCTAAAATCGTTAACGCAGAGTATAGTCGTCATATGAACCATGTTCTATATGAGCTGTATATCGATATTGACGTGGTTGAGCGTATTGAAATACAGCGATTGCGTTGGCCAGACCATGTTTTGCACGAAATGTGGTCCAAAAAGGAACTCTGTGAAGGGCGCAAAAGATAGCGATCTAAACTTCGATGGAAGAACCAGATAAAACGATTTAACTCGTTGGGAAACATTCCATAACGCTGATAACTACAATATTACAGTTATTAAGTGAATGGTTCGCACGAAAGATGGTCAAAAATGAAGTCTATGGATACCGCAAAAGAGAGCGATCTAAACTTTGTTGGAGGGACCAGGTTATATTTGATTGTTATAGCCATCTTAGTAGGTAACAATGATATTGGAATGATCCCATTCACACAAACCAATGACTGTCAAGTTAGTGAAAACTCCTTTAGCATTTCTTTAACTTTCTTTTAACGTCGCACTCCAAACTACTTATGTACGGTCTTCTAGTACTTTTAAATGCAACTCATTTCAACACTTAACAAAAGTAGCGTATTTTAAGTTTCCAACTTAACCTTAGTTTAACCTGTACACATATTTAGTTTAGTTTTGCTTAAAGCATTTATAAATCTAGAGTATGTGGTGTTGTGTCAAACAAAATATACTGTTACTTTCAACAGCAGCGTCATTTTTTGTTTGTTTCTATTTTATTTATCCATTTTGTTTTGTTTACCGTTTGCGTGTAAGAGTCCTTTTATTTGTTCATTTGTGGTTTAATTGAGGTTATTTTTACTTTATTAAAATGGGGCTTTGAGAATATTTCACTAAAATAACAACAAGAGGAAAAAAACGTAGTACAAAGAATTACAACAAACTAACCAAACATTTCCATTTAAATCATTTTTAAATAACACAACTATGGCACAATACTCTCATTTTTTAACATTCTTTTTTTTTTTTTTTTTTTGTTTAGAGATGAACTTTAGTGCAAAACTGACACGGTTATTTTTTTAATATGTGAAAAAATACATGGAGTGCAGAAGATTTAGGTATTATTTTTGGCAACATAACGGAAATGTTTAAAAGATTTTATAATTGTACTTTAGGAATTTTTTATTTAGGTAGAAAAACAAACAGTTGGAGGATATTTTAACTAACTTTTATATGGTTATTTTCAGAAAGTATGTTATCTGAGAGAGGCTTAAAGCAAAATACAAGACTCTAGTAAAGTCAGTACACTTTAGAACTTTTAGAAGCCACTACTGAATTGTCAATTTGTTCAAGATTTAAATCTCATTTACTAAAGCGTTAAAGACTCTTGGTTTTTTATTTGTTAAGCTCTCAACATTCCAAAAATATTCACTCATTAGTTAAAAAAAAAACTGTTCCTTTAAACTCCAGCACACCTGCAAAAGCCAACTATGCAAGCATGTACTATTTCCCATAAAAATAATTTTTCCGTCATAAAACATCCTAGTATTTCCCTGTTGTATGAATAAATTTTATATACAGAGACAGAATAATGCCAAAATGCTGCTGATGCTGGTGAACATGTTAATTTTTTGAGTGCTTGCCAAAATGTAAACAATAGAATGAATGTGACCCAGCCAGTGGGTTCCAAATAGTTTTCATTTCGTTTTATTTTCTCTGACAAAACTGAATGTTATTCCATTGTCAAGATATTTTAGAATGCAAGGAAAGGACAATATATATTCTGTAATTAATTTAGAGGAGGGAAAAATAGGTGATATAAAATAATAACAAGGATTACTTCCATGTGTTTTAAGGCATTTTTAGAAAGAAAATTCAAAAACATATGTATGTCCCATACGTTTAAGCAAATATAAATATATACAAGTTTATTAGCTTCATTAAGAATATGTATCCCATGATCGTCATGTGATATGGATATGATCGTGAAATTGACATTATAGAACAAAAAACAATATGAACGCATCTTCTTTTCGTTTCTTTGTATCCAAAACACCAGCAACGCTTTACACGTCTAAGCAAATATACTGAAGTTTATTAGCTTCATCCAGAAGTTTGGATTTTGTATTCCACAGGAAGTAAATCACAGATTCATGGTACCCAACTCATATTGTCAATTCTAATTCTAATGGATTAGTCTATAGTTTAGTGTACAGTCTGGTCTATAGGATATAGCCTATATAGATAGCCTATAGAACTATATACTATAGTATATAGTTTAGCTATAGGTTAGTCTACAGTCTATAGTCTAGTCTATAGTCTAGTCTATAGTCTAATCTATAGTTCTAGTCTATAGTCCTAGTCTATAGCCTAGTCTAATAGTCCTAGTCTAGTCTATAGTCTAGTCTATAGTCTAGTCTATAGTCTAGTCTATAGTCTAGTCTATAGTCTAGTCTATAGTCTAGTCTATAGTCTAGTCTATAGTCTAGTCCTATAGTCTAGTCTATAGTCTAGTCTATAGTCTCTAGTCTATAGTCTAGTCTATAGTCTAGTCTATAGTCTAGTCTATAGTCTAGTCTATAGTCTAGTCCTATAGTCTAGTCTATAGCCTAGTCTAGCCTAGTAGTCTAGTCTATAGCCTAGTCTATAGCCTAGTCTATGTCTAGTCTATAGCCTAGTCTATAGCCTAGTTATAGTCTAGTCTATAGTCTAGTCTAGTAGCCTAGTCATAGTCTAGTCTAGTCATAGTCTAGTAGGTCTAGTCTATAGTCCTAGTCTATAGTCTGGTCTATAGTCTAGTCTATAGTCTAGTCTATAGTCTAGTCTATAGTCTAGTCTACAGTCTAGTCTATAGTCTAGTCTATAGTCTAGTCTATAGTCTAGTCTATAGTCAATATTAAGAACTAATTTTGACCCTATCTAGTGCAACATTTAACTGAAATTAGATCATGTTTTAGTCTATAGTCTAGTCTATAGTCTAGTCTATAGTCTAGTCTATAGTCTAGTCTATAGCCTAGTCTATAGCCTAGACTATAGACTAGACTATAGCCTAGTCTATAGTCTAGTCTATAGTCTAGTCTATAGTCTAGTCTATAGTCTAGTCTATAGTCTAGTCTATAGTCTAGTCTATAGTCTAGTCTATAGTCTATAGTCTAGTCTATAGTCTAGTCTATAGTCTAGTCTATAGTCTAGTCTATAGTCTAGTCTATAGTCTAGTCTATAGTCTAGTCTATAGTCTAGTCTATAGTCTAGTCTATAGTCTAGTCTATAGTCTAGTCTATAGTCTAGTCTATAGTCTAGTCTATAGTCTAGTCTATAGTCTAGTCTATAGTCTAGTCTATAGTCTAGTCTATAGTCTAGTCTATAGTCTAGTCTATAGTCTAGTCTATAGTCTAGTCTATAGTCTAGTCTATAGTCTAGTCTATAGTCTAGTCTATAGTCAATATTAAGAACTAATTTTGACCCTATCTAGTGCAGCATTTAACTGAAATTAGATCATGTTTTAACCCAATAAACACTGTGCCACAAACTATTGGGTCATCATCGTTGTCCTCCACATATGCCAATCAAAACTTAAGCCATTAAAGCAACCACTAATGTAGGACACCTAACAATTCTACGCGTGCAAAACGGAATAGTAAAACACTTTTACTTTTAAATATTTCCAATAACACTTTAAAGCATAATGTAATAATATTGCTGATATTATTATGCACTCTGTAGTATGAATATTGAACGAGGAAAAAAATGAATTTTTGCATTAAAACGCAATTTAGATAATCAACCCAATTTTACTATGAAAACAAAACACTTGTGCATGACGTTTCATGCAACGACTAGTACAATGTATTTTTCACAGCTCTATTGTTATGAATTTTTTTACACATTTTTAAAAGTTTTGCTTTCTTTTACAGAAATTTACAAATAACAATTGATTGGCACAATTTAAAAAAACAACAAGAGCCTCTCCTTGTTACAGCAGAACAAAAAAAAATAATGATAAAAAATCAACAATATTCCAAGAAAATTACGAGTATTTGTTCTAAATAACGGAAAAAAAAACGACACACTTAGGGATTGATAATGAAAAGCAATAGTGTTTGATATGGTGTTTGGTTGGCGCTGATGGTTTGAAGTGGTTTATGGGTTATTATGATTATTATGTTGCTTAAAATAACAGGCCACATATTTATACTGGAGGGAGGCCACCAGTGACTGTTAGTAGGTTCGATAAACAGACATTGTATGTAGTATTTGTTGTAATTTATTTATTTATTTTTGGACTTACCTTTATTTTCATTACGTAATTGGAGGGTACAAAACCAATATTACCCTTCATGCTGACCACTTGCCACCAGTTACGTTGACGTGCTGAGGTCTGATATAAAATAAAATATTCACCCTCATCAAAACTGATGGTTTTTGGATAGACGGCTTGAAAATCATATAAAGCTTTAAGCATTTCGATGTTATCTAGAAAATATTAAAAAAAATACAAAAAAACACACACACTCTTAGTAGATCCTTTAGAAAATTGATTTGTTAAAGTAGTTCATTTAATTAGTATTTGTATTAATTTGTTAAATGTTTAAAAGTTAACACAAATTTCAAGGATATATTTCTTCCACTTTTCCAATATTATATTTAAGCACAATTTTAAAATGTAAAACAATTATTTAAATTGAAAAATCCAACTTTACTGTGTGATAGAAAAACTGCAACTACTAAAGGATTTTAGAGAAACAGATGAACAAACGAACTAAAAAAAAAAACCCAGGGAGAGGTGGTGACAATTGTCAAAAACAAAAATCACTTGACTAGTGGTGGGGAGGGAGATACAACAACAACATGAATAAATAATTGTTGGTTGGCAAGGCAACGAGGATAATCATGTGTAAAAAAATAAGGAAATAAAACAAAAACAAACATGAAAACGACGACGCATACACTCACATCACGCTCCTAAACAAATAGTCCAACACATTCACATGATGAAAATAAATAGTAGTGAAAAAACATAACAACAAAAGGAAAATATGCAAATTAAACATAGTCTCAAAAAACCGCTACATTTAGCTAAAATTCTAGTTCTCTTTCTCACTCTCTTTTGACTTTTTTTCATAAATACTCTCGCACAGGTACGGCTATGTTCCGTTATTCGTGTAAGAAATGCTGCCAGATTTGAAAGTTTAGCGATAATTTGTAGATTATTTTTAGATAATTTTGCAGATTATATTTAAAAATCTCGTTGTTGAGTAAATTAAACCCTTTTATGCGTTTTAGTTATTTTCTAGATTCTAAAATCGAGTGCATTTTGACACTCACCATATTAAATAATAATTGTACATATATCATATAAAAGGGATGGTCTATGTACTATCCTATTGCTTAGTCCATTATCCATGGACTAATGTATTGAGTAATCTATTATCTAATAGTTTAGTTTATTGACTACTCTATAAACTGAACTATTGGCTTATACAGTGGCGGCCATGAGGTTAGCACATTTGGTATCTGTTAAATATAAAATCAAATATTTCCTATAGTTCTTAACTTTTTTAACAAATTCTTTTTTATGCGTAACACATGTCCTTCGAGGATCACGACACATTACATTTTGTTCCACTACTTTGTTGCATATAGATTTTTTTCTTTCCAAAGTACATCTACCCCCAAAAAAATCTGGACATAAGTTTAGCACAAAATAAAAAAATCATTAAAAAATTAAAAATAAAGCAAAGAAACCGGATAAATTTATGTAATTTCACTTAAAATTTTATATTTTGTAGAATAGTTGCACATTTTGATAATATAATTTCTTCTCCTGGACATAATCTTCATCAGAACTCATTAGAAATTTCATGACATAAATTTTAACTTTCAGCCCATAATTAGGCAAAATTCTTAGGAATTTGTGTTTTATTTGTTGCACCATTTCGTTTAATATGTTCCTTATTGGATTGGGATCTAGAAATTATTCTGGGCGCTGCAAACATGTCAATCTCGCTCGCTTCCAAGAAGCTCCTCTCTATACTTTTAACATATTTTGGGTCATTGTCGACCAAAAAACGCCATTTAACTGAACTTTTGTCCACTAATTTTTTTACTAAAATATTTAAGAGTCTATTTTGATAGTCATACTGATCCATTTGTGCATCCACCTTGCGTATAGAACCTCCACTACGTCCGGAAAACGCCTCCGAATTCGTCATATTTCACCCATTGTGTTTTATGGTTTTAAATGTACACTTTGGTTGTTGCTGCATGTTTGGAGTACAGCATAATTACATTTTTCCATCAAATTTGATCCTATTAATCTTCAACTAGTATCCTCCAATCATGCAGATAAAGCTAAAGTGTTCCAGAGAAATCATATATCACAATGGGGGGAAATTTCATGGTATTCATTGCATTTTCTTGGCGTGCTGTTGGTCCTATATTGATGTTGGATGCAGAAATGGATCCGTATGACTATCAAAATAGGATTTTAATTACTTTATTAAAAATATCGGAGGACAAAGATGGCGTTTTTTGGTCGACATCGACCGTAAATATGCTAAAAGTGTTGATATGAGCTGCTTGGAAGCGAGCGGGATTGTCATGTTTGCAGTGCCCAGTATATTTTCTCGATTCCAATTCAATAGAGAACATATAACATGATATGGACCAACAAATAAAAGCAGAAATCACCAAGAATTTTTCCAATTTATGGGCTGAAAGTTAATATTTATGTCATGAAATTTCTAGAGGGTTCTGGTGAAGATTATGTCCAGGAGGAAGAATGATATTATCAAAATCTGCAACTATTCCACAAAATATAAAATTTTAAATGCAATAAGATAAATATAGCCGGTTGTTTTGTTTTATTTTTAATTTTTTAATGATTTTTTAATTTTGTGCTAAACTTATGTCCAGATTTTTTTGGGGGTAGATGTACTTTGGAAAGAAAAAAATCTATATGCAACAAAGTAGTGGAACAAAATGTAATGTGTCGTGATCCTCGAAGGACATGTTTTACGCATAAAAAAGAATTTGTTAAAAAAGTTAAGAACTATAGGAAATATTTCATGTTATAGGCAACATATACCAAGTGTGCTAAAATCGTAGCCACCACTGTATATGGACTAATTTAATTTATTATCAATATACTAGTTTACTGACTAGTTGGTTGTCTATTCATTGACTATTCAATGAACTAGTCGATTGGCTATTCAATGGACTAGTCTATTGACTATTTATTCAATGGAATATTCAATGGGCTAGTCGATTCACTTGAATATGGACTAGACTATTGGCTAGTGTATAGAACAGTATATAAACGGATCTATTGAGCAGTTCAGGTCTATATTTTGAACAAGTTTAGTTTATTGACTACTCTATAAACTGAACTATTGGCTTATATATGGACTAATTTACTGTATTATCAATATACTAGTTTACTGACTAGTTGGTTGTCTATTCATTGACTATTCAATGAACTAGTCGATTGGCTATTCAATGGACTAGTCTATTGACTATTTATTCAATGGAATATTCAATGGGCTAGTCGATTCACTAGAATATGGACTAGACTATTGGCTAGTGTATAGAACAGTATATAAACGGACCTATGGAGCAGTTCAGGTCTATACTTTGAACAACTCTATTGACTACTTTATTGACTACTCCATGTACTAGTCCATTGACTAGCATCTGGACTATTCTATAGAGAAGTTTATTCGCTACTCAATGGACTAATCTACTGACTACCCTATTAGTCGACTATGCGATGGATTAGTAAATGGACTATTCAATGGACAAGTCTATGGATTAGTCAATAAACTAATCGACTGAAATGTCCAAAAAGTTCTTGACGAAAGATTATACTCCAAAATCTCATTCCTTTCTTAATTATTTCTTTTTCTTTAAATGTCATAGTCCACTTGTAAGAATTGGTAGCAGCGAAGAGAACCTGAATGGCTAACTAGGAGATTACTTATTATCAGCTTCCCTACAGTGTTACGACATGGATCGGGACCTAAATATAGAAACCAATACAAAAGATTGCTAAGAATGCTGCCAATGGTACCCTCGCGAGCGTGACGAAGAAGATCTAGTCAAACGTATTTTATAATCTTACTATGTAAGAAATAGGCAGAAACCTATGATCAAGAAAGTCCCGGAAGGAAAAAAAGCCGCTCAAGAAGTACGACTAACGATATGGTGAAAAATCAGCTACTCATGGCAATCTAGAAAGAAGTTGTCATTAGCTCTGTAATAACAGAATGAGTTGCCAAGAGTTCATTTGGAATTTGTGCTTTCCTGGAAATAAGGACAGTAGCATCTAATTTTGACTCCAATGTGTTTCATCGATGATACAGAATATCTTAGCAAATTCTCAAAGGAATCAAGAACCTTCGAGTTAGAGAAGACGGTTGTTAGGTTGTTCTTCAGAGTGAGGGACGCCAAAGTAAAAGTGTTCCGGCAGACGAAAAACTCAAAGTGATGAGGTAGATAAGGTTAGAGCGGAAAGTTCACTAGTATAAAAGTAAAAAAAACCGCTGGAAAACTCAGACTGCGAATTAATTTTAACGGGGCCACAGGTTTCAGCATGAATTCTGGAATAACTGAAACCCTAACATAGGTATAGGGGGGTGTGATGTACTTCGCATGAAATCAAAACACGCGAAGTTGTCATGTGGTTGTTGTTTTTTATAACAACAATGCTGTGGTAAAATCGCGAGGGGTTCGGTTTTTGGCGAAGTACATCACACCCCCCATAATATATCGAGGGACTATATTCAATAGTCTCTATCTAAAATAATACAAGTTTTCAGGAGAGCAAAAAAACTGTTTATTTGTGAAGATTTTTAATTTTTTTCTTTCACAATATATTTCTACGACTATATTCTAAACCATTATATAAAAAGAATTTTAATTTTTGCATTATTTACAAAATTATTCACAAATTTATATCAGATAGAGCTTATTTTTCTACGAAAATGTTCATTCAACCAACAGAAAGAGAGTTTTTCATGGAAATTTTTATTTGAACTAAAATCAATAAATATTATATTTTATACAATTTAATGGAGGAAAAGAAACCAAATTGTTGAAAAAGCAACAAATTATAATGTTTTGGTCCAAAATCAATGTTATATGGTTAAACACGACAATAAAATTGATTTAATTAGTATCATAATGAGCGACATATCAAAAACTATTAGACCGATTTTAAATATTTTGACGGATTTGTGTTCAGCATGTCCAAATTATTAAGAAGTCTTGTTTTGCAACCGAAAATTATCCAAAGGGATAGAGTTTGAAGCAATTTTTGGATAAGATAGAGAGTTTTGCATTCAGAATTTTTCTTTTTTAAGATAGAGAAATTTAAAAAAAGCTATAAAATTGCCAAAAAATATTTTTTTTTCTTTGAAATTTATATCACTGATGCGGGATAGTTTGCTGAATATTTTGGCATCAAAATCTCATTTTCATGAAAATGACAGATAGCGACTATTGAATATAGTCCCTCGATATGTACTATATTGCCGAAGCTAGAGTATTAAAATTTCAACAAAATTTCGATGCTCAAATAACGAAAAGTTCCTAAACGATAGAACAATGAAATTTTCAAACCTTTATAGTACTAAAATCAGCAAAATCAGTCGAAACTTAAAAGCAAAACTTCGACCGAAATTAAAAATTTGTTTGTGTTGAAAAAATAAACAAAACATTTTTACATAATCTGGCAGCTCTGCTTAATAGCTACTAAAAACTGTCAACGAATTGTATTAATTTAGTTTCCTTCTATTACAAATTTTATTATTGTTGTTATATGCATTTAACGTTGAATTAAAATTTACATTTCCGTTTCTTTTATTTTTCTTTTTTTTTGTTAATAAGAATGCACTTGTTAAGGTGGAAATAGTATGCATGTGTGTACTTACCCATTTTGTATGTCAACGTGCAATAAACTACAACAACAAAAAATTTATGTTTATGTGATGAGTATTTTTTATGTACAAAAAGAGAAGAGGTGTACGAACGAACAACAATAGTTGGCAAAAAAAAAAAGAATGAATGAATTTTTTAACACTAGACAAGGACGTGTTAATTAAGCTTTTATTTCAGTTTAGTTGTTGTTGTTTTCCGTTTTGTTAGCAATTTTATTTTGTTGTTTGTTTTTATTGGCAAATTCGCGTTGCTTATGTTTTTCACTTGTTTATTTTTTATTTTTTTGTGTAGGAAGTTCTTTTTTGGTTAATTTTATTCCCCAAAAACAACAACAAGAAATGTTACATTCCCTCCTTTTTTACACAACAACAAACAAACACACAAATTTCTATATATACACGATTTTTATTTTCTTCTTATTTAGGGCGGAGGCTGTTTTCTTGGCTGGGGACACTTTTTTTGTAGTTAGTTTTGCATGTGCGTTTTTTAGCTTTTATTTTGGATTTCTTCTAACTATTGCATCAAATTCTATTTATAACTTTTTAATTTTTATCTTACTTGTTGCTACTTTTTCCAAAAAAAACTTCAATTTTAAATTAACAAATACACTTGTAATTTTGGCATTAAATGCTTAACTTTTTGTTTGCAATTTTTTTTTTCTTCTATCTCTTTTAGCTCTTCAACACACTTCCTTTCTCTGGAGTTGGCACTATATAAATACAGGATATTATTTGTATAACGGTATTATATTCGTTTCTTAAGCTGATTTCCTCGTTTGCGTTGCTTTTTTATTTATTTTATTATTTTACTGAAGGAATTTGTCAAATTGGACGACAATCAACTTGTCATTTTTTGCAGATTTGAGCAGCTGTTTAGGAACAGTGTGGCCAAGGGTGCGAGTTTTTATAAAATAAAAATGTAACGGTAAATTTTGTATTATGCTAAAACACATTTTTGGTGTTTAAAAAACAGCAAGTAATTAATGATATAAATAAAAATTATTAACTTACAAAAGAGTGTTAAATATAAATAAAAAAAGCAAACAAAATAAATATTATGGTTTTTCTCTTACTACTTTTTTGTTTACATTCTTGGCGTTTTTTAGAGCAGTTTTTTGAGCTTACTCAACACAGCCGATGAAAAGCAACCCTGCACAATGTTTACATTTTATTTTTCGTGACAATTACAAAGAATTTCACAAGAAGCCGGCTTTTTACAAACGTTTATTCAGAAAAAATGCCTAAAATCGTGGAATTAAGACAAGATCGTAGTTTAATACGTTCCAATTTTGATGGCTATAAGCTGTCCTTGGATGCTGTGCCCTTATTAAGGCAAGAATTAACTTCCGCTCCCCTAAAAGCAGAAGTCAATGATGACCAATATTCTTTACTGCATGCTGAATTGTTTTCCATGCAAAATCTGCTTACAGTAGATCCCTGGACAAGAACACATTCCTATTTCATAAATCGCCAGGGTGAAATTGTCCGCTGTGCTTATGATGAAAACAAAGGACGTCCGGACCAACAGCAAGTGGTTTATCGTTTATTTCAAGATATATACGCCGATGGTCGTAAGCAGAAGGGAGATTATAACTACAGTTTGAGGTTTTTATCGGAGAAATTTTGCTTAATCTGTGATGGTGTTAAAACTATATTACTATTGGAAACTGGAGATCGTTTAAAGGGTGGAGAATGGAAATTGGTGGCCTCAGCACGAGTGGAAGGAGAAGGCCTTGCACCGGAAGAGAAAAATTATCTTATTTATGATGCCCGTTTGGATATCATACAAGAACAAAAACAAATTTCTATTATTTTGGGTCATGTGCAGCGTGTAGAGTCCTTAAGGCCTGAGGAAGCAACTAGCCACTTTCTCTATTTGCATTGGAGCAAATGGTTACTGGAAGATCAATTATGGAAATTTCAAATTTTGGATACATTAGAAGGTAAAGGCTCAGTGTATTATTGCGCCTTTGAACCGCGAGCAGAATCTGTTGTAATAAGTTCCAATCATGAGTTTAAATGGAGATCTCAAAATTCGCAAGAAAATGGTGTAGACGTACCAAAAGAAGAGCAAGAGAAACCTCAGCTGCATGGAGAACCCGTTGATGATGATGCTAATCAAGTTTCAGGGTTTTCTTGGACTCAGACAGATGAAGATATAGTAATAAAATTTAAGGTAAAAGAAGGAAAAGGCAAAAACGATTACAACGTTAAGTGTGAACTTAACAAGATTACAGTGAAATGTAATGATGAAGTGTTATTGGACCAAGAGCTATTGGATAAAATTGATTTAGATTTAACCACATGGACAATAGTAAGTTAAAGGAAATCTATTTATTTAATCACAAATCTATTAAATTTTTCTCTCACAGGAAAATAACTACCTACAAATAACTTTAATAAAACAAACTTCAGGATTACTCTGGACCTCCCTATTGGCAAATAGTCTGGGACCCAAAGAAGATAACGATAAAAATAAAGAAAACTCTTTGCCCATGGAACAGCAGCCCATAGCAAACCTAGAAGCACCCATAGAAGATTGTGATTTTCCCATGGGCTCAGCTGAAGATGAGATAAATATTTGTAAGTAAAATAATATAAATAAAAAGAAAAGAATAAGGTCTAAGCAAGAACTATAAAAAAAAAACTTTTTTCCAGCTCGCTTTAATCTACCCACCAAAACCATCACTCACAACATTATAATGGGCTCCTCACCACCTCTCTTCGCCACCTCACTCAGGCCCGGTTTTCCCTTAGCTATAGCCACCCGACAAGATGTCGATTGCTGCCTATGGCTACAACAATACAATCCCTCAAAGCCCGACGAATGGTCCGTACGTCATGAGGGCAATCTACATGCATTTGGTTATGTACAGGCCTCGAAGCAACAAAATAAATTTATGGATTGTTCTCCTGATTTAGGTTATGCTATAATTGCTGAATCTTATCGTCATGTATTTTTATATAAAACTAAATACGATACTGCCAGTGGTCTAAGAAATCGTAATGGACCTCAAGTTAGTATAGGTAAACAGCATTTAATTACACTGGAAGATGCTGGTGAGGTTTTGGGCTTGACCACAGCGAATAGTGTGGCTACGTTGTTGACGGAAAAATGTGTGTTATTTTTACAAATGGAAAGTTAATAATAAATGTTATTTTAAATTAAAGAAATCTTAAATATGCAATTGTTTTTCTTTTTTGCTTTAAAGAAAGGACTGATCCCAAAAAATTTTCTTAGAATGATTTGTATATATAATTTCGTGAAGAATTTTATTCCGATTAAATAATTAAGTAAAGAGTTATTAATGATTCAGTGATTTTAAGAAGAAGACCGATCGGATAAAACTTTCACAGAATAATTTGCATATGGGTAACTTCTTGCCAAGTGACCCAACTTTTAAAATCGATGTCTTGCGATTTGGATGAAATTTGCGCCAATGTACTGTTGGATGGTAGGATAGACACAATTTTTCAGCTATATCGGTCAAGAACTGCCGGAGATACGGGGGTCATAGTTGGACATTTTGGTCATACAGGGTTTTATTGAAATGAGTGTAACGCTAGTTAGTTAGTTAGTTAGTTAGTTAGTTAGTTAGTTAGTTAGTTAGTTAGTTAGTTAGTTAGTTAGTTAGTTAGTTAGTTAGTTAGTTAGTTAGTTAGTTAGTTAGTTAGTTAGTAGTTAGTTAGTTAGTTAGTTAGTTAGTTAGTTAGTTAGTTAGTTAGTTAGTTAGTTAGTTAGTTAGTTAGTTAGTTAGTTAGTTAGTTAGTTAGTTAGTTAGTTAGTTAGTTAGTTAGTTAGTTAGTTAGTTAGTTTAGTTAGTTAGTAGTTAGTGTTAGTTAGTTAGTAGTTAGAGTTAGTTAGTTAGTTAGTTAGTAGTTAGTTAGTTAGTAGTTAGTAGTTAGTTAGTTAGTTAGTTAGTTAGTTAGTTAGAGTAGTAGTTAGTAGTTAGTTAGTTAGTTAGTTAGTTAGTAGTTAGTTAGTTAGTAGTTAGTTAGTTAGTAGTTAGTTAGTTAGTTAGTTAGTTAGTTAGTAGTTAGTTAGTTAGTTAGTTAGTTAGTTAGTTAGTTAGTTAGAGTTAGTTAGTTAGTTAGTTAGTTAGTTAGTTAGTTAGTAGTTAGTTAGTTAGTTAGTTAGTTAGTTAGTTAGTTAGTTAGTAGTAGTTAGTAGTTAGTTAGTAGTAGTTAGTAGTTAGTTAGTTAGTTAGTAGTTAGTTAGTTAGTTAGTTAGTTAGAGTTAGTTAGTTAGTTAGTTAGTTAGTTAGTTAGTAGTTAGTTAGTAGTTAGTTAGTTAGTTAGTTAGTAGTTAGTTAGTTAGTTAGTTAGTTAGTTAGTTAGTTAGTTAGTTAGTTAGTTAGTTAGTTAGTTAGTTAGTTAGTTAGTTAGTTAGTTAGTAGTTAGTTAGTTAGTTAGTTAGTTAGTTAGTTAGTAGTTAGTTAGTTAGTTAGTTAGTTAGTTAGTTAGTTAGTTAGTTAGTTAGTTAGTTAGTTAGTTAGTTAGTTAGTTAGTTAGTTAGTTAGTTAGTTAGTTAGTTAGTTAGTTAGTTAGTTAGTTAGTTAGTTAGTTAGTTAGTTAGTTAGTTAGTTAGTTAGTTAGTAGTAGTTAGTTAGTTATATGTATGAGTTCATTATTCATTACTTTCATGTAGAGTTTTGTAAGCAATGGCAACTCTTTAAAAATCGCTAGAATTTCCTTATTACGATGAAATTCATAATTTAATAACTCCATTACCAACACTTGTCCGCACACATGTTTTCTAAAAAAAACACATAAATACCGCAGAGAAGCAAGCAAAATGTTTCAGAATTTTTGGAGTGCGGTAACGTTTTAGAAGCACAATAAATCCGATTAGAAAAAAGTACACAAGACCAATATATAGAAAAATTATTAAACCGGTGGCTACTGAAAGTGAATTTAATTGTAAAAAGAATACAAATTATAACAAATACTCATACATTTGAAACGAAAAACGCAAAAAACACGCGGTGTGAGACAAATTAAGCAAGAAGTTTTGCATTAAAAGCGGAAAAAGGTGCTTAAAAACGAAATTTTATTAAAAAAAAATCAAATAAGAATAAATAAAACGAACTTATTGCAAGTGGAATTTGTTAGTAGAAAGAAAAAAGTTCACGTAATTAATGATTTAATTTACATTTTGTGTTGTGGTCATTTTTCTGACTAGAAAATATAATAGAGAATTTTTTTTCATTTACATATACAAAAGTGTAACGAACAACAAGAACATTTTAGAAAAAAAGTACCTTGTAAAAATAAGGAAAAAAAGAACGAACAAAACCATAAAGAGTACCTAACAAATATAAACATAAGCATTCCTCTAGAGAAAAGAACCTTTTAAAGGAGATTTTAAACTTACCCGAAAGAATTTTGTTTTTTACCAGTTAACACTAGGGTGAGGTCATCATTAGACCATTTAAGTTTTTACTTAAGAATTAGTTTAAAATTCTATTTTACTTTCAACACTATTCGCACATTTTTTTGTTTTAGTTAATTAGAGTGTGTTTGTTTTTTTATTTTTTTAATTTGATTTGAAGTGAAGAAAAAAAACTTGAATAGATAAAATTTGTTTGTCAATTTTTTACTTAATCACGATGACAATTAAAAAAATAGCAATTTATTTGATTTAATATATTTAACAAAATATTGTGAAATTCTTTTTTTAGTGTTTTTGTAACAAATTCCAATACAATAACTCTTAATTGTTTTAACTACAACTACTCGATTGCACGTTTATTGTTTTGGTACAATTTTTCCTTTTGTTGTTGTCGTTGCCAAAATAAAGTAAAAAAAAAAACAAAACAAACCAGCAGGCAATTACAATAACAACAAACAATTTGTTCCCTTTTTTCTTCTTTGCAGACGAAAAATTTGTCAAAGAAAAGTTTAAAAACAAAAAAGAAAATAGTGCAATTTAACAGGGTGCCTAAAGGAAATCAATAGTGAAACGAATTTCACAAGTTTTTTTTTTGGAAATTTTCAACGTTTGTTTTTTTAATAGAAAAAAGGTAAGTGAAATAAAGATGAAAAAGAATATTTCTCTTTTTTTGCAGAACCGATTACTAGTCTGTAAGTTTTGAAAGAACTTCCGGTTGCCCGGATTGGAATCTGGGGTATACTCAGCCACTCTAGGTCCGACAGATTTAGTTCCATTGGCAACTTTTCATAATTAGTTTTAGTTACATTAAACTTCCATAGAATAGTCTATATAATAGTCAAACGATAAGTTCATAGAACAATCAAAAGTAAACTTGTCAATAGACTTGTCTAGCACTATTATAGTGCTATACTAGTCCGCAAATTGGTCAATAGACATATTCATAGACCAGGTAATAGACTTGTTACTAGCCTAGTGCTAGACTAGAGAGTAGTCTATAGGCTTGTTAATAGATTAAACCATGGACAAGTTCACAGACTTGTCTACTCTATAGATTGGTCAGTAAAGTAATCAAAATAAAAGAAACAAAATAGTAATTTAGTATTTTAATGTATAAAAGTTATATTTTCAAGTCCATTTAGCTTCGATTTTTAATTAGTGAATCCTATGCTATACAGTTCTCCCCCCCCCTTAATAATTGGCTTAAATCCAATTTATTTCATTATTTATATCTTTCATTCTACATTTTAAGTTTTTATTCTTTAAAATGTATATTAGTAGAGAAAAATCTCAACGTAAACTTAAAGCTCATTGTATATTAACTTAACCTAGGTCGGTATTATTATGCTTTCTTGATCAAACAAACGTTTATAAAACTTAAATAAAAAAATTAAATTATGATCCGGTCCCTCTAAATGTCAATGAACATGTTCTTTAATATTTTATAATGAAAACAACAAACAAATTCTATAATTCTGTTTGTTTGTAACAACAAACAAATTCTATAATTCTGTTGTTGTTTTCAAGATAAAATAAGAATGAAATGTTCGTTCACATTTAGAGGAACAGGTCCTATAAAATTTTTTCAAAAACTTGTTGAAAAGTAATGAAAAAAACACCATATAATAATTATTTCCTTAAAATTGCTTAATTTTTTATCTGAGGGTTTTTAGAAATTCTGAAAGAAATGCAATAACAACAACTTTTTAATATAATATTCTTGTTCTCGAGAAATTTGTTCTATAAATTTAAACAAAATTTTGCTGACTAATCGACCTATTTGTTTATATTGCATGATTTGCAATAATGTATTTTCTACAACTAGTGTATGCTTAGTCATTTAACTGAATCCTGTGTATGGTGAAATAAAATAAGAGATTCTAGTTAAGTATTTACTTAACATTTTAAAGATCTTTTTATGAATATTATACCCTTCTTTAAGTGCAAATGATCATTACAATGATTCATTAGTTTCTACATACATATGTACATGATTAGCTTATCAACAAATGATTTATTGATTGAAGATAAAATTTGTTTAGCACGGAAAGCACGTAATCAAATGACTTCAATAAAAGTAAAGATTATAATAAAAAAAGTAATAAATTTGAACAGATTCCAAACCCCTAAACATAGTTCTATTTTACCCTTATTAAAGTTTTGAAAAGAAAGTTTTTTGTCTTTACTTTAACTTTAGATTCGTGATCATATGGAAGGATCATTTTCAAAATAATCTGAGTTTTTTAAGTTTGTTAAGAATATGATTCATTAAAGCGGGGGAATTACAAATTACTTCTTTTATTTCTTAAAAGTTTATGAATAAATGAAAATAACAGCTGTTGGGAAAAAACATTACCCTCTATTCTTTAAATACAAATTTTATTCAATCTTTATGATTCTATAATATTATTTTACAATAAAATTATTAATTAAAAAACATCAGGAAACAAAAGAAACTTGTGTTATGGTTTTTTGTCATTAAAATAATGATTTTTTTTATTTAAATCAGTTATAATAAATCATTTGCTATGACTAAATAAGTATTATATTTTGTAGAAAGTATCATTTCCTTCGTTTATATGGAGACTACTCTTCTTAGTTGAATTTTAGTAGGAACCATAGATTACTATTGCAACAATTATACCAAAATATTAGTTATATAGTTTAGGACTTAGACCTGTCTGCTATGCAGACGATGACGTAATGCTTTTAAAGGGAAAGGAGCCAAATTACTTGTGTAGAAGAGCTGAGGAGGCTCAGAATAGGGCCTTGAGCAATGCTCTGGCCAAAAGCGGTTATAGGATACGTCATCAATGTATACTGGACATATTGGTAGGTTATACAAAATCATCGGACTTGCCTAATCGCGTACCAGACACAGAATATGTCGTAAACTTTGAAACGATGATCCCAGATAGAATGTCGTGGAACATTAGAGCAAATACCAGTAGAAATCTGTTGTTATAAGGATGGAACTAAATTGGGTGACAAAGTGGGCCAGGGGTTGTATGTTGAAGACCCTGAAACAGAGAAATACCACCGTTTACCTAATCATAACACAAGCTTCCAGGCGGAAGTCCGAGCAATAACGGAATGTGTAAATACCGACAGCCAGATAGTCTATAGTCTAGTCTATAGTCTAGTCTATAGTCTAGTCTATAGTCTAGTCTATAGTCTAGTCTATAGTCTAGTCTATAGTCTAGTCTATAGTCTAGTCTAGTCTAGTCTATAGTCTAGTCTATAGTCTAGTCTATAGTCTAGTCTATAGTCTAGTCTATAGTCTAGTCTATAGTCTAGTCTATAGTCTAGTCTATAGTCTAGTCTATAGTCTAGTCTATAGTCTAGTCTATAGTCTAGTCTATAGTCTAGTCTATAGTCTAGTCTATAGTCTAGTCTATAGTCTAGTCTATAGTCTAGTCTATAGTCTAGTCTATAGTCTAGTATCGTCTATAGTCTAGTCTATAGTCTAGTCTATAGTCTAGTCTATAGTCTAGTCTATAGTCTAGTCTATAGTCTAGTCTATAGTCTAGTCTATAGTCTAGTCTATAGTCTAGTCTATAGTCTAGTCTATAGTCTAGTCTATAGTCTAGTCTATAGTCTAGTCTATAGTCTAGTCTATAGTCTAGTCTATAGTCTAGTCTATAGTCTAGTCTATAGTCTAGTCTATAGTCTAGTCTATAGTCTAGTCTATAGTCTAGTCTATAGTCTAGTCTATAGTCTAGTCTAGTCTATAGTCTAGTCTATAGTCTAGTCTATAGTCTAGTCTATAGTCTAGTCTATAGTCTAGTCTATAGTCTAGTCTATAGTCTAGTCTATAGTCTAGTCTATAGTCTAGTCTATAGTCTAGTCTAGTCTATAGTCTAGTCTATAGTCTAGTCTATAGTCTAGTCTATAGTCTAGTCTATAGTCTAGTCTATAGTCTAGTCTATAGTCTAGTCTATAGTCTAGTCTATAGTCTAGTCTATAGTCTAGTCTATAGTCTATAGTCTAGTCTATAGTCTAGTCTATAGTCTAGTCTATAGTCTAGTCTATAGTCTAGTCTATAGTCTAGTCTATAGTCTAGTCTATAGTCTAGTCTATAGTCTAGTCTATAGTCTAGTCTAGTCTATAGTCTAGTCTATAGTCTAGTCTATAGTCTAGTCTATAGTCTAGTCTATAGTCTAGTCTATAGTCTAGTCTATAGTCTAGTCTATAGTCTAGTCTATAGTCTAGTCTAGTCTATAGTCTAGTATATAGTCTAGTCTATAGTCTAGTCTATAGTCTAGTCTTTAGTCTAGTCTTTAGTCTAGTCTATAGTCTAGTCTATAGTCTAGTCTATAGTCTAGTCTATAGTCTAGTCTATAGTCTAGTCTATAGTCTAGTCTATAGTCTAGTCTATAGTCTAGTCTATAGTCTAGTCTATAGTCTAGTCAATAGTCTAGTCAATAGTCTAGTCAATAGTCTAGTCTATAGTCTAGTCTATAGTCTAGTCTATAGTCTACATCTTATGGGTACCAGGACACTCGGGAATAGTCGGCAACGAAAGGGCGAATGTAGTAGCTTGAAGGTAAAGGAGCTCGAGGTATTTAACCTGAAATCTACTCAAAATGTGCAAGTTTGAAGTTAGTATGAGTGGACACATAGGATTACGAGCACATCTATACCAAGTTGGACGTGCGGATACAAACGAATGTAGAGCATGTGGAGAGGACAGTGAAACTCTGTAGCACTTTCTTTGTCACTGTCATTCATTCGTCGAGATTAGATCCAAGTATCTTGAAAGTGATGTTATTCCGGAAATAACATTCCTGACTAACACTGGACAGCTTTTCCAGATATCTTAGAGAAACGGTTACAACAATATCTGCTATACTTAAAGCAGCGATGGCCAAAGCTAAAATTAGAATTTGTATTGGTGAGCGAGAGTAAATTGTACTGACAGAAATGTCTAAAAAAAATGTTTATCTCTTTATATATATTTAATATTTATATATCAGACACCAGAATTGGTTCATAACTGACAGGCATGTCTTGTTGAGATTTCTACTCAGACCCGACAATATTTTATGAAGATATATATGTTCTATTAAAGGATCACTTTTTAATAATCCGAAGCTGTTCTGAAAAGTATCTGGATCTCTCTATATGGTGTCTAAACGATCTGTTTTGTTTGGGAATAGCGATCAATTCTTAATAGGAAGACTAATAGTTCAAACCTTGAAATGCATCGGTGATTCAAACATGCCCCCTCAACAATTATGTATAACAATTTTCCCAACATTAAGGTTTATATGGTTACTATTTAATTCCTGTAGTTTGCTAGGCAATGGACTTTTATCAGAGAGAATAACGAATAAGACATTTTTGATTTCGATTGTAATAACTGAATACCCTGATGAATTTCTACAGCTATTTTAGAAATTTAACAAGTATACATTAAATTGAAATCTTAGCAAACCCCCTTAACATTACTTAAAGTATATGAAATTACCGTTAAAAGTAAAACGCATTAACCACAAAACTAACAATGACTAAATTTCCAGTTTAGAATATATATCTATTAAATAATACTTCAATTTAGAAAAAAACTTGATTTATTAATAATACAATAAAAAAATAGCTAATATCTTGTGGTTTTGAATAAACCAACAA